AATCTAACATATCATCAGATTCAAAATAAGTGTTGAAGAGAAACTTCATAACGATGTTTGTACATTCTTGCCGAGCGGCGATAAACAAGACCCAACATTGTGTTTATTTTAAAACTTTATAAAGTTTATCTTTGTATATCTGAATGAAATTTAGGACAAAAGCCGAAATAGGTACAAACATTAGTATTTAAAGTTTTAATACGATTATTAGAGATTTTATTGTAGATGTCACATTACTTCTGGATCAACCCACGTAAAATGACCTTGTTAGCAAATACAATCTATCGTTAAATCGAAATCGAAAGTTGATTGACGTTTTTTATACAAATTCTAAAGCATTATTTTCACAATGAATTGTCTACGGATTTTTTCTCGTTTGCCCGATCATGACAAGGGGCACACGGGTATGTGACCGTTGACAGGGGAAGCTTACTTTTCCATGGCACCTGATCCCACCTGATATTTTAAGAGGCCCGTGTTTGCTCTGCTCCCAATTTGTATTGTTCCAATGGACTTTTGAACTTGATAACTGTTCTTTATCTTCATATTTCATTGAGTCGCAGTGGTTAGAGCGTTTGCTCTAGAGTCGCGGAGTAAGGAGTTGTTCTTTACGTCACGGGTTCAAATCCCACTGAGGAACATGGAGACCGGTCATTCGGATGAGACCGTATAAACCGAGGTCCCGTGTCGCAGTAGGTGCTGGCACGAAAATGATCCCTCACTGCTCAATGGCCCTGAGTGCCGAGTATAGGTCTAAATTTGCAGCCCTCCACCGGGAAGTGGTGGCTTCTCCATATCAGCGAAAATTTTTCGAGAGGGACGTTGAACAACAAACAATCAAAGATATTTAATTGATTACCAAGCCATGGTTTTCCATGGTAATTTGAAAAACAGTAATGCTTTATAACTTGTATGCTCAAATTATTTAAAGGTAAAATTTAACAAACAAAATATAAACAACTGTTTTCTAAAAAGTTTCCAATTTTGCAGAAAACATGAATGTACGTGCAGGCACAGAAGAACAATGTCAAACACTCTTGCACATCTAATATAATGTCTACTCTCTATGCACATATTAGCAGCATATCAAGATATTTTACAATTCCTGAAGTAAACTATGCAGAAAAAAGGTACCCTAATTCAGAAGACATGTCTGGAATTGAATTTATGAATGAAAAAGTACTTATGACACATTTGGGCCAACACTTAACAAAATATGAGAGTTTAACAACAATCATCCGATCCACTTCTTAGATATTGTATCTTTCAAAAATGAATGCTTCTGGTTCTCTTGTAATATTTTTTTCTTTTTTCAGCGTAAATGATCTAGAAATTAAAAAAAGCGAACCCTACAGAAAATATTGTCTTCTAATTATAAAGTCACCTGAGTCATTCAGATGACTTATTGCTATCTGTTTTCGTCCGTCGTCGTGGGGCCTGAAGGGAAGGGCTTAAATCATCAAAATTGATGGAATCTAATAAAAAAAAATCTTAATATTCCTGGACATCAGGCATACAAACTTTACATGATTGTAATAGCATTGGGCCCTCTAATAGCATTGAATTTTGCAATTCATGGCCCGAGGTTCAGGTGTTCAGTTGCTATGGCGGGGCTCTGTTGAATATATAGTGAAAATACATTATTTCTTTTCAAATCTTCTCCTATGCTTCTGGGTATTAAACAAATAAACTAAGTGCATAGTTAAGATGAGCAAAGCTGCTTCTTCCTAAATTTTTAATTTCATGGCCCATGGGTCAGAGGTTCTGGTGTTAGAGCGGCGCTCTATGGATTATGTTGTGGAATTGCATTTAATGCTTTGAAAATCTTCTTCTCTACTCCTGGGTATTAAGCAGATAAACTAAGTGAGCACACAATCTAATTTGATATTAAACAAATAAACGTAAGTGCATAGTTAAGATGAGCAGGGTGCCTCTTTCAAAAATGTGAATTTCATGACCGTGTTTGGGTGGTCTCTGTTGATAATATTGAGAAAATGCATTAATTCTTTAAAAAATACTACTGGGTATTAAGCAGATAAACTAAGTACATAAGTTTGATGAGCAAGGGTGGTTCTTCTTAAATTGTGAAATCTGTGTCCCCGGGATCAGAGTTTTTTTAGGGGGGGGGGGGCTCTATCGATTATGTAAATAAGAAGCATAATTTCTTTCACAATCTTCTTCAATACTCCAAGATATTAAGTAAACAAACTAATTGCATAGTTATGATGAGCAAAAGTTTCTCTTCCAATTGAAATTCTTCTCTGTTTCTAAGTATTAAACAGATAAAGTAAGTGCGCACTTTTGATGAGCAAGGGTGCTTCTTCCAAAATTATGAAATTCTTGGCCCCCATGTCAGGGGTTTTGGCTTTAGGAAGGGAGGGGCTGTTTGAATCTATAGTGCAAATGCATTATTAATTTTGGAAATCTTCTTCTTTGCTCCTGGGCATCTAGGGGGCAAACAGAGTACAAAGATGTAGCAAGCAAGGTTTATTTTACCAGATTTGTGAAATTCTGGCTCACTTGGTTAAGTATTCTGGCATTGGGCAGGGCTTCATTAATTTGTAGTCTACTGAGAGAGGGTATTTTCCTTTGCTATTCACCTATGATTATCAATCACTGTAAATAATTTGATTAAAAGGTCAACTGAATAAGAGAATTAGACAAGAATTTTTATAATATATAATACAAACAAGATGTGTTTGTGAAACACTGATGCCCCCGTATGGCAGCTTATGGCGAAGGTTAAAGTTTCTTCAAATGCAAGTCAAAATCCAGGCCAAAAGATAAGAAATGTTGATACCCAAAGAAAGGTCCTGTCTCGAGGAATACACCTATGAAATTTGAAAGACCTAGATACAACTGTTCAGAAGTTATGGCGAAGGTTAAAGTTTTTTGAATAAAAGTCAAACGTCAAGGTCAAGGTCAAAGTGGTTGGTATCCAAAGGAAGATCTTGTCACAAGGATTACATATGTGAAGTATGAAAGCCCTAGCACCAACCATTCAAAAGTTATGGCCAAGGTTAAAGTTTTTCAAAAGTAGGTCAAACTCCTAGGTCAAGGTCAAAGGGTAAAATAGATTGGTATCCAAAGGAAGGTCTTGTCACAAGGATTACATATGTGAAGTATGAAAGCCCTAGCATCAACCATTCAAAAGTTATGGCCAAGGTTAAAGTTTTTCAAAAGTAGGTCAAACTCCTAGGTCAAGGTCAAAAGGTCAAAGTGGTGGTTGGTATCCAAAGGAAGGTCTTGTCGCAAGGATTACATATGTGAAGTATGAAAGCCCTAGCTCCAACCATTCAAAAGTTATGGCCAAGGTTAAAGTTTTTCAAAAGTAGGTCAAACTCCTAGGTCAAGGTCAAAGGGTCAAAGTGGTTGATATCCAGAGGAAGGTCTTGTCACAAGGAATACACATGTGAAGTTTGAAACCCTAAACACCAACTGTTCAAAAGTTATGGCCAAGGTTAAAGTTATTCATAAGTGGGTCAAATTCCAAGGTCAAGGTCAAAAGGTCAAAGTTGTTGGTATCCAAAGGAAGGCTTGTCACAAAGAATACACATGTGAAGTTTGAAACCCCAAGCACCAACTGTTCAGAAGTTATGGCTAAGGTTAATGTATCATAAAATTTTGCAAAAGTAGGTAAAACTCCAAGGTCAAGGTCAAAAGGTCAAATATGATGGTACCCAAAGAAAGGTCTTGTCACAAGGAATACACATGTGAAATATGAAAGTCATAGCTCCAACCAATCAAAAGTTATGGGCAAGGTTAAAGTTGACAACAGACAGACAGACAGACAGACAAACAGCTAAACAGACAAACGGACAAACAGACAAACAGACAGACAGACAGACAGGACAAAAACAATATACCCCCGGGATCTTTCGATCCGGGGGCATAATAAAAAGTACTTCCCAAACCCCCAACCCCAAACCCCCTTATACATCACTGACTTCAGTTGCTTTTCAACGCAATGACTGTAAACATGTTGAAGGATTAATTGTGGGATTCTTACGAGATGCGGAGTCAATCCGATAGTATGACTGAAGACAGAAATATATATCGGAAAAATGTGAACCGACATTTTAATTGATATGAAATAAATACCTTGTTTTGTTTAGCCCAGAAAGACAAGCGAGGGTACGATGTTAGCAAACCAGAGTGGGATACCTTTCTTAATGTGCAGTGGAATATTTTTTTGTGTTGAACGATTATTTGCGGTTTTTCTTGATTTTACCTATTGTATACTAGTACATGTACATGATAAATAAGTGTAACAAATATAATGTGTGAAGAAATGTTTAACAAGCCCCGGGGTTGAATATGAGAGGGGGAGGAGAGGGGGGTCCCTGTCCACAAGTACCTGTGTACTAATCTTGTGTATATTTTTGGTTACAAAAGAGAAGGGCGGATCCCTTGCCCTCTCTAAATCCGCCAGTTCATTAATCTCCTACCCCTTCCCTTCAGGCATTCCAAACCCTCGCAGCAAACTTTGCCTCGCTTCTCTTAAGGAGTAAGCTGCACTCAGGGCCATTGAGCAGTAAGGGATCCTTATCGTGCCAACGTCTGCGTGACACTGGGTCTTAGTTTTTAAAGTCTCACCCGAAGGACCCAAAACCTTCACTTCAAAGTGCGAAAGAACAGTTGCTACCCTTTTTTTGCCGACTTAGGTCGGTCGCAGACGGGGACAACCTTTCGATCACGAAGCGAGCGCTCTACCTCCTAAGCTACCTTGACGGTAAACTTCAAAGATATTGATAGGCTATAATAATGACTTGATAGACAGCCACGGATGATGCCATTCCTCACTCCCGTGTATAATGATGTTATAAAGATTATCAATTATCTCTTTAAAAAAACATGTTACCAATGCCTGTAATCATAAAAATAATGTTATTGAAAGAGACATTAATACTTCGATCTAGTTGTTTTGTACAGTTTTTGTATAATTGTGTATTAACGCCAACTTTTAAAAAGAAGTAAAAGATTGTTGCAAGTTTTTGATAATGGAGAAAGAAAGGTAAGATCTAAGTGGAATCCTTTTACAATTTTAAATATATGATCGTTGTTAGCCGTTACAAAAAATACTATAGTAAACTAGAGTCTACTCTAAATAACGGAACAAGTAGTTTCCTATAGTATCAAAGTTTTTTAGAATACTGAATCAAAGTTTTTACTATAGTACGAGGGTTGTTCGGAAAGTTCGTGGACTACTGTCATAACTTTTTTTCTTAAAGTCATATTATATCCAAATTTCAAATGATGTGTATTAAAATTTTCAAAATATAGTGGTTTATTTCAAACTTATTTAGACTTTAAAAATGCGAAAATCGGATCACGGAGCAGTTCAAAATTTTGTAATTTACAATCAAGACACTACATAATGTCTGAAGTCATATCTTCTGTAAAATGACACAAAAACGGATACACGTTCAAATTAAAAATTATTTCATCGTTTCTGATCCCAAATTATGACTTAATATTTTGCTTCGTTGAAAAGTAATCAGTTTCAAAAGATAGGTAGTCCTCATTGAAAAAGGCAAAAAAGATAACGTCGTAGAACGTCACGGAGCAGCAGTTAACCCTACAATTTTGTGTTGTGTTCTGGAAAACTAAAAAAAAAAAACTCCGAAAATGCCGGAGAAAGTAGGAAGTATGTCAAAAGCGGGTCATGCATGTCTGTGTACATGGTACAAGAGGTATTTGAAGGATAGAATACTCTGCTTAGACGATGGTGATCTGTGAGAAAACGGATTATCTGTAAAAATCTTATCAAAACATTGAAAAGTTCGTAAAGTCATGCTAAGAGTTTGACACTTCACAGATGCTGAACTTGTGAAAGCACACTTATGCAGTGAAAAAAGATATAACACTGACAAACAAAATGATGCTACTGGAACAATAATCACAATTGTTAGCAAAATAGATTTCAAGTGATAGAGAAACGTTTTTAATGAGTGCACTGGTATTGGGCAATACTGTGTGAAATGTATTGGGATTGTTTTTGATAACCTCGCGTCGATATGTTTTGACGTCACTTTATTGTTGAGTTTGCTCCGTGGTTGCAAAACGTGTTGATTTTAAAATTAAATAACATAAATTCTATTAAATCACATGGAATGAAACTTCACACTTAAACAAAATAAATATTTTTAAATATATAAATGTGCTCATTTTAAATTTCTTGAAGATAGTATAAAAAAGATTGGCATAGTCCACGAACTTTCCGAACAACCCTCGTAAATCGAAGTATTTTTACTTTGAATATCAAATTGTTATATTTTATTTTCTCGAAGAATTATACCCTGTAAATTCATACATTATTTCTAAAATTTACGTCATTGTTGTGACATTATAAAAAGATTAAGGCCCTTAATCTAAAGAAAAAGGTATAGATTGAAGTTTATAGTAAAATTAACTATCAAAGCATTTTCTATAGTTAACTACATGTAAACTAGTTAACTATAGTAAATTTGTGTTAGGGTGGGCGGATCAAGGATTGTAAATTGGGGAGGGAAGGGTAAGGTTTAAATATTTGCTACGAATGAGTTAAAATTTTCAAAATACATACTTTTTAAATTCCTATATGTAGATTCCTTTATTTAACATTTTTTACTAATTAATTAAAAAAATCATTTATATTGAAAGAAAGACCTGTAGTGAAGCAACTACATGTAGGTAAGTAATCAAAAATGACTTTCTCTAAAATTTTGAAATATATATAGTGTAGACTACAAAGTTTTCAAAACAGTTTTCTTTTTTCGATATCATTTATACCTTCTCTTAATTTACACTATAGGATTATTTTCTTAAAAATTCACAGCAAACCCTAAACGTGCAACATTTGGAAATGGTGTGAGAATGGAATGTACAAATGCTTGCGCATATATTGCGCGCGCATCCTTCCACGTGGGGCGCTGTGATAAATGGATTTATAACGTATTCACTACATAAATCCGATTATCACAGACTACCACTAAAAAACAAGTGACACCATTTCTTAATTATCTATTTATTAAGTTTGGCACCATATGGCCACGGCTGGTTGCAGATCAATTATTTAAGATACATGTGTTCAGTGGGTGCCGACCCAATTGGTTTTTGGCACACCTCCAATCAAAGCAAACAATCAAACAATCAATCAATCAATCAATCAATATTAACTGTACACATGTCATTTTTTACACTATAAGACTGGCGTTTGCTTTCCAAATTTTGCGGTGCGCCAGCCTTATAAAACAATATTCAATCAATCAATCAATATTCAATTGAATCAATCAATATCAAGTTCAATCAATCAATAAATTTATCAATTCAATTAATGAATATCCAATCAATTAATGAATATTCAGTTGAATCAATCAAAAAGTTTCAGTCCAATGAATCAATCCATTTTCAATAATATCAATCAATATTCAATCAATCAATCAATATTCAATCAATCAATGTTCAATCAATCAATGTTTCAATATTCAATCAATCAATGTTCAATCAATCAATGTTCAATCAATCAATACTCACTCAATTCAATGAATTGTAGTAAGTTTATGTTTAAGCCAAACAATATTTCAATTAATCAATGTTCTGTCAATTGTTTTCCATTGACCAGTTGTCAAAATAATTATGTTGCAGCCGCGCCCTGTTCACAGCGGCGCTAGTCGAGATGAATTGTGTTAAGCTAAATCCGCCAAACGTGCATAGTTACTCATGTAATATGCACGCCGCCACAAACGTGGGGGTAGCTTAACACTCTACTCACAAAACCAGCCGTGACCCCCACAATATATATCAATGATACTACTACTATAAATGATAATATTAAATCAAGTTGGCAGTTCACTATGTTTTAAAGCCCGCTTTTAAAAATTTTAGCTTACTGCCAGACGAATTGTATATATGAAATATCCTCTGTTGTAACTAGATTAATTATGCTTGGTAACTGAGTTAATTACTTTTGCGATCTTTTTCCTGATCGAACTTCCCATCACATCTGGAAACGACCCTATAGTTAACTTTACTGAACTATTTAAGGATTCGGCAGTTTTAACAATGCATATCTTTACACAGCCAAGGTCATTTGCCCCGCAATAGAATATCGGATTAGGAACCCCATTCTACCATTCTAGCACATTCCTCTCTTGCTTTGTTACAACATACTAAAATTTACTGCTATAGAAGCCTGTGATTAAAATGAACAGATGAACCAAATATCTAGAGAAAAAGTTCAAATGTCTTTCTTATTCTATTGAACTGTAGGGTTTATAATCTATGAATGATAACATTTAAATTGTTCTCTTCCAAATAATTGAATTGATTCGCATGAAAGTAAGTAGCTTTTCAAGTTCTAAAAGAATATAATTTACATGTATAGTGCGTATATTTATATTGAGACGCAACACATCTAGTTTAAGGTTAATATAAATAATAAATTACCAGGAATGTTTGCTCTGATTCGTAAACAATGGTGCATGACTAATAATTAACAATACAGAGAGTAACTGTGTCTCTTTACCCTACTGCCCCCCCCCCCCCCTGCAGTTTAACGTCTATGTGATGAAAGTACTCGTTTTATATAACGAGGTTGTACTTATGCAGTGCCGAGTTTAAACTTAAAGTGCTTAGTATAAAAATGATAGTTAATTATCTACTGTTGGATACATATTAACATTAATGAGAACATGAGATGGAATACACTATTTATTTATTTATTTATTTATTTATTTATTTATTTATTTATTTATTTATCTATTTATTTATTTATTTATTTATTTATTTATTGATGATGGTAGTATGGTAGATAAGATTCTTTATTCCCAAATCAGGGCCCTTTCAGGCATCACAAACAACAAGCATGATTTCCACAATTACAAACAGTACAAACAATTTATGTGTATACATACTAAATAATCTATACATGTATTTGTATATTGTAAAATTTGACACTGTATATGTAAGTAATATTGATAAATGAAATAGTACTTCCGTGATGATAACATGTGAGTGTGATCAAGTAATTCTAAGATGGAGATCTCAATTTAATAAGGTAAAATCTAAAAACGTGTATAAGTCATTTATAAATATACTAAACACCAAATCAAACTGTATAGATCTTACATATTTTGACGTCTGTTTATAAAGTTGTGTGATCTAATCGTAACCAAAATAACTTTACTACAATTATAGGTGTATAATCATATGCTGGCTTTCCCGCAGCCAGTATGCCTTCCGTCTGCGCTTACCGCGCTCAGCTTAAGAACATTACTGCTTAATCAGCCATATCGTAAAGAAATAAATATAAAGTGATTCAAAATTTAAATGACATAAAAACAAATGGTCTTTATACAAATGAAAAGTTGCTGCATTTTTTATGCCAATCATTGCATCCTGGGAACGCTGGTAACAGCGCGGTAAGACGGCACTGAAAGAATTGCATTTCATTTGAAGTGACTTTTAAGATTTATTGGCCCTTCCTATCAGCAAAATCTTAGGTTTAATTAGCTTTTCGTCAGAATACAAACTTGACATGTATCAATTTCCAAACCCAGATGAATTAATTTTTATGACGGGAACAAATGTTCAACGCATTGAAGAATTCCCAATGCTGACCAAAATCGCCAAACGTGTCATCAATTTTGAGCAAATGTTGGCGTGAGCTGAACTTGCAAAACAGAAAGACATCAAGATAAATAAATGCGTTTCATATTTCGAACCAGGTTGTGACCTGACGATTGAAAAAAGATAATATTTCATTTGTGTTTAATTAATTTATTAATCACTTCATTTATTTATTTATTTGTGACGATGTGTAACAACAAATGGAAGGCGTTTGACATAGTAGTTATTCGAAGCCAAGTACGCAAAAAATCATCTGGTTTTCTAGACAATAGTCTAAAAACGATTTTTTTTTTTTTTTTTTTTTTTTTTTTTGTATCCATTTTGCCAGGTAAAGATCTTATCAATGGTGCTATCATACCGATTATGGCCCTCAATCTATAAAATTTTTGGGTTTATTGTTATGTGGATATTGATCCCCCTCCATGATTTATGGGCCTAGTTTTGATAGAGGTGTTAAGGAAAAAGGAACAGCCATTCGCCCATAGCTATTTCACTCAGCAACATATACTGAGTTTGTCTTGATACAGATCTACTGAAATTAATTTCAATTAATTAATTAATTAATTTGCTCTTCACTCCATGCGCCCTAAATTAAATTAAAACCATTTCTCAACTCATCGCCTAATTCTTGCTTTGGTGGAACATGACATGCATAAATATTGGAAGTAGTTTAATATTACTAAAGAATGACCGATGTTTATTAATTGAATGCCTAGGAGTAACGAAATTTAAGGTTTTCTGTTTCAAAAAGTGTTTCCCCAGGCCGGGGTTGCTGATTTGTTGAGGACGGACACGAAGATGTTAATCGAAGGGAGAACAAGCTTAAAATACATATTTTATAACAATGTGCACATATATACACAATAAGTAACGATATTTGGCATCAAAACACTAGTCTTTCAATTGTATGAGGGATGCTAGCGAGGACAGTTAAATATTACAAGTGAGGATCAGGTTAATATTGCACGTAATGCAGCCATTACTTGCTATAAACGTAATTGTATTGTTTTTATAAATTATATATATATATATGCCCCCCTTTCAAAGCTCATTGATTGGTGAATAAATAAATTAGTCTTATTATTATAGCCTCATATATCGATAACATTAAGGCTCCATGAAGTATATACTCGGGCGCTTACAACATCGGAACAATGACCGACGATGCAGAGTGCGTGATCTTAAGAGTATGAGGTTAAATTAATTCAAGTCAATGGGAGTTTTATGGAACCCAATCTTAACGTGTGCATAATTATATTTATATTGCTCTAAACTCTGTGGTTGAAGGGGTGTGCTTAAATTTAGATTCTACTAAATACAATAAAACCAATTGTAATGATTAGCTTATTCTTTGCCTTTTCCCACTGATTTTAACAGAATGATCGATTAACTGAACATTTAGTATTTTCTTGTGCATTTTTTTAAAAATGTAATTGATACAACAGTGAAAACATTATACTAATAATTGATGTAGGCATACAAGATGACATACCGTTTGTGCTGTGTGTAGTAGTATTATGCATGTCCTCCTCATTGCTGGTATTGACGTTATTCTCTCTGACCATTTTGTAATGCCTTGTTTGGCTTTGGCGACTATAGATGTTGTGGACATCTTTGTCAATATTTACAGCAACAATACTCCTACAAGTAAGAGCCTCGGCTAACGTCCATACGCTCCTTACAGCCCTTCGGCGCGAAGTCAAAAACTCTAGCATGTTGAAGTACACTAACGGTACAATTAGTGCAAACAATCAGAAAAACCTCGTCTTTGTACACCACAGTCTTTTGACAATGTCATTGTGCAATATTCTAAATTTTCTTAAAAATTCACAGCAAACCCTAAACGTGCAACATTTGGAAATGGTGTGAGAATGGAATGTACAAATGCTTGCGCATATATTGCGCGCGCATCCTTCCACGTGGGGCGCTGTGATAAATGGATTTATAACGTATTCACTACATAAATCCGATTATTTTGAAAGAAAACTGTACGTAATCTCATAGTCTGTAATGTAACAACATAAAGTGCTTTCATAATTTATCGCAATTATACGAATAAGAACTTAAATATAGATAACTGAAAAGGCAAATACACATGTATGATGATAACCATTTATTGAAAATGTTAAGTTGATCTCAAATTGTAATTTATAAGCGATCAGTTTGAGTGTAATTAATTGCATGTATTTAGAAAACGATTTTGAGTGGTACAACGATGGTAGTATTCATATAGGACTTATGCGAGAAGTGCTTTTACAATCGATGGCTTACTTTTACAGTAGGACAATATATGGAAGCTCTTTTGCGATGTAAATATTAAGCTTAACAGTTAATTAAACAAAAATAATGGACCAATTTAAAGCAGAGATTACGTAATCTAGGAAGGGAACGGCAACCACTCTACCCTCAACCCCTCCCTTCCCACATTGACCAAATATTGCTTGGTTTTCCTTCGGGAATGTTTTTTCTTCCTAATTTGATTCCTTTAGAAAATGAAATTGAAAGGAGATACTATCCCTCACGAATAAGGTATTTCATGTAATTCTGTCCCCATTATCTCTTGCCTTGATTGCATACCAGTAAGCCATGTTAGTGCCTCTAACACCATACCCATAACTACTATGATTAAGGTTTTCTTATTTATTATCAATTCTGTATCTCCGTCCATAAGGCAGGTTTAAATTCTATAAAACTAAGCATGAACAGATAATAATGATGCTTAATCAAGTAGGGAAAACATTGCAAATAAATTATTGAACTACTTTACTCTTGGTCTGATATTATGTTGAATTGGTTTTACTGTTATTATATAATGTACTGTATAAATTACCGGTCGCGGTAACATAGTAGTAGGGCGCTCGCTTCGTGATCGGGAGGTCCCGGGTTTGACGTAAACATACGTAGTTAGTTCCTTAGCCAAGCGCCCAGCACTAGAAGTTACTCAGGGTCTTTCGGATGAGACCTTAAAAATCATGTGCCAGGGTAGGCGTTGGCTCGATAAAGAATCCTCACTGCTCAAAGATCCTGAGTGCCGAGTGAAAATCTAAACTTGAAGCCCTTCACCGGTATATTATGACGTCTCTATGTGAGTGAAAGTGACGTCTCTATGTGAGTGAAAGATTCTCGAATAGGAACTTCAATCCCACTTCTCTAAGTGGCAGAGATCTAACACTCTAGAAATCATTCTAAGTTATGTTCACCTGCACGTGACCAAAAACATAAGTTTTTATTTTATGTACATTGGTCGAATTGGTCGTAAACTTCCAGGTTGATTCAATTAGTTAGAAAAGTTATTTCACCAGCACCCGACCTGAACATAATATTTATTTTTTTACTACATTGGAAGAAAACATACAGCGCTATGACAAAAGTATTCGCGATTTTTCAAAATGGCGGACGTAAACACGACGCGCTAAGTAAAAATAAACAATAAATTGTGAAACAATTAACGGACTTACCTTTATTAATACTTGGTGAGATGGCCCTTAGACTTGATTACAGCTAGTAGTCGACGGGGAATGGATTCGTATATAGGGATTTGATATAGTTTTCATCGAAGGAATTCCAGATGTGTAAAATCGTATCGAACAATTCTTCAGGAGTCTTAATAATTGGAGCTCGATTTTGCAGATTTCTTATGATTTTAGCCATAAATTCTCTATAATATCAATGTCCGGTGATTGCGCTGGCCATACAATTGTAGGAATATTATTTTGTTGTGTGTAATCTTCAGTAATACTCGCTCTATGGACGGGGGCGTTGTCGTCTTGAAAACGATAGGTTTTGTTGAGGAAATGTCGGACAATGACAGGCCAAAGTTGATCTTCTAAAATGGATATGTTTATTTTCATTAATCATGCAAAGTGTACCTACCCCGTGGTAGGTGATGAATCTCCACACCATAACGAAAGCCTTCTCTGCCGAGGGGGGGGGGGGGCACATGCACTGCACGACCATTTTTTTCCTAACAACTCGTCGCTTAAAATCGTGATCACGCAAAAATCTTTGGACTGCCCGTGGGTGAACAGAGTCATTAGCATCCCTGCTTTCATTAAATTCATTAGTAATGTCCTTTAAAACCCGTCCTCTGTTAGTTTTAGTATGTCTTATTATCCAGTTTTGATCCCTTTTTGACAGCTTCCGAGGGCGTCCTTTTCTTTTCAAAGTTCTGACTTCAACAGTTGATAAATATTTTTTCCAAATAGATCTGATGGTTGATTCAGGTATTTGTAATAAATTCACTATTACCGATGTTTTTTGCCCCTCCATTTTCATGTCCACAATTATTTTTTTGACATCATTTGATATTTCTGTCGATTTCCTACCCATCGTAATCCCCGTTTGTTTACATAAAATTACAGACAGCAGAAAATAAAAAAAAAGATAGATATAACGTCATTTCCGATGTGAAGACAACTCTGTAAAAATTTGGGATGTCAACACGGCATTTAATTAGAGTTATTGCCCATTCCCCGAGCGAAGCGCACAGCGAGAACGACGTCATTGCGTAAAAATCGCGAATACTTTTGTCATAGCTCTGTAGTTCGAGAACTCCTAAATTGATATAATCAGTTATTAAGAGAGACAAAGAGAGTGAAAAATGGTGTGTAAAATGTTGCAATATTATACATATCTTGCTATTTATATACGAAGTTTTGAAATTGATATTCAAAAAGTTGGATTTATATTCAGAAAGTTTTCATTCATATTTGTAAACTTGTGATCCATATTCCATATTTTTTAAAAATATAAATATATATTCTTGTGATTTATGTGACAGGAGGTAAATTATAATGATATTCTACATATGAATTTCAAGATCATCGCATAAAAATAACGAGGTTATCAAATATGAATATAATGTTTTAGAAAAGATTCATTTTTTAAATTAAAAATCAAAAGATTTTGCTTATAAATACATATTAATCTGAAAGTAAGAATGTTTACCTGATTTATTATCGGGCATTAAAGAGTACTTCAGAGCTGCTTGGTGTGGATAGATATTTATTAAGTAAAATATTTAAAACGGAGAATTATCTCACTCTTTTATTTAATCATTTTGTGTTAAATGTTTGCATGTCCATTTGTCTATATAAACCTTTTTCTTGGTAATCGTTCATGACTTATATGTAATCGACTTGCTCAAATGTAACTTTCTGTGCCAACTGCACCGACTACCAACCCAGTGAAACAACTATTTTCCTTTCTAAATTTTATTTTCTGATTTTTTTCTTCTTCTTCAAATAAATAAATTAAATAAATAAATAAATAAATAAATAAATAAAAAATAAAACTTAAATACTGCTTTACTTATGGCATCTGCAGTATTTCCCCCTAATACCGACAAATACAAACTTGAGACGTGTAATTTTGCTTATCAGTCTGTTTTGCTTGCCTGAAAATTCCTCCACGATGTCAATCTCTTCGTGGATAGCTCTTATAACAGGTTTCGTCACATCACCTTGGTCAAAATTAATATTTCTTTGGTCATATCAAACGCTGAAACTAGCTTGATAGACCATATGCATGAAGGCATCATATCAACCTGTTGCATGCTCTTTCAAGCTAGTTAAGGAATGAAATTGATTATCTTGCATTGTTTCAATTATCAATCCCCCTTAGGGATTGAATTGTTACAAAAAATGTTAATGATGATTGAGATCAATACATGGCTCCTCGTGAACCAGCTGTTAAATATTTACTGGGTAAAGTTCATATCCATTTTTATCAAAATCATTTTAAACATATGGTTTGCCAGGACAAGGTTAGAAATAACATAAAATATATATTGAAACCACAGGTTCAAATCATGAAATATTAATGCAGAAAATTAAAGTGGAAGAAAAAAAATGATGCTAATGATAACTAACGGAGTACAGACTTAAGATCATACATCTTTAAAAAAAACATACATAGTACTTTTCAACTACATAATGTCTTGTTTTCTTATCAAATTCGTGTTCGGTAACAGTTCTTTCGAATGTGTGACAATTAACAACATTCCAATGTGTAAGGGAATCTTATATATATATATATATATATATATATATATATATATATATATATATATATATATATATATATATATATATATATATATATATATATATATCCCAAAAATCTTATCTTTTGGTGAATAGACAATTAAAAATATAATTTTGTCTGCACTTTATGTGCATGGCACTTTATGCAAAAAATCCAAATGCAAATAAATGCAAATAAATGCAAATAAACTACTGCCAAGAGACCAGGCAACAATAAAAAGGGCCTTCCATTTTGTTCATCTTAATATTATTTAAATGTACTTACAACAGGTTTGAAACTTCGAAAAGGAAATCAGCTTCCATTGACTCAATGCTTGTCATTTCCTGTATTGTTGTCATCGGACTTGGCGTCGGTTTCATGTTCACAAACTACATGATAGAGAGTCCTGAATGTTCTTCGTCGATAGAGGGACACTACAGATATGCAGCAATATCATCCGACACAGCAACCTGTGCAAGAATTGGAGTGTTAGTTGACGATTCGAAAATTACAGGATCTTTGTATATAAAGTTACATGAGCTTGAATCAAAACTGGTGATTTCTTCTTGGTTTTAGCTCTCATAACAACAGATTTGTTTATTTATTACGTCCCCCAAGTAGAGAAGGCATTTTGATTCTGGATCCCAAAATAATGTTTAATCCAATGGCACCCTCGATCAAAACGTATTTAAATAGTACTAGTATGTTTAAAGGTATGTGATAATTTTGATTCAATATCATATTTCAAAGGTCAACGGGAAATTGAGATATAGCAAAATGATGTCGCTGCTGATGACCCACAGGTGCTTCGTGACTTAGAATCAATGTCATTTATCAAGGTCAAAGTCAATTGACAATGAAATTTTAAAATGATTTGTTTGATATAATTTTCAATAACTTTGATCTTAAAATAATCTATTGAAATAGACTACATTCTTTATATGTTGTTAAGAGTAGTTATGTTTTTGTATGACTTCTATGACAAAACTAAGGAAAATCTGAACTGCAAATCATCTAATGTGTAGAATATACCCTTCGTGCACGTGGGCTTCGTTATTTATGTTTGTGAAACCAAGGGCTTATAATTACAAAACAAAAGAATATCGGGGCATAAATTTCAAATTAATAACGAGGGCCAGCAGCTTTTCTACAAGCATTTTAGCTTAAATGTTCAATCTATTTTGTCAATGAAAGTTAGAATTCTAGAAAAGATTTACCATCATACTAATAGCCCATCAACAAGTACACCTTTCCGTGTAGATCTACAACGAGAAGTATACTGGATCAGGAAACTTAGCACGGCCTAACAATATGGTAGCGATGACAATCTCGATAGTTTTGGGGATCTTTCGTCCATAGTAAAGCAATGTGAATATGATGGGACTTTTTAACAATACACTGAGACGTAATTAAGCGTAGTCGTGGACATCAGTCTTATAATAAACCTATAATACGTCTCTTTTGATTCACTACAATTTAAATAAACAGTTAGGTCTTCATCACACCACATGGCACAAAGTTTTAAATGGTCTATTTGAAAAGAAAGTCCCGATATGGATTCTTCGACACCAGAACACAGACTCTGATCTTTGATTATGGATATTGTAAGTCATAGCCTTTTTAAATTGCCACGTTTTACGGAAAAGAATATTTCCCAAGTAACCCGTATGAATAATTTCTGAAATGAGGAAAGCTTTTAATAAATAAGTTTATGATACAGGGATACCAAAAGCCCCGTTCAAAGTCAACATTTCGCAAATTCTATAGTCGGTACAATGACCTTGTTAGTAAATACAATCTATTATTAAGTCAATTGCTAACTGACTTTTTCCATGTTATTTGTTAGGCCATTATTTTCACACCGTATTGTTCATGATAGATTTTTTTTTCATTTTCCCGATCATGACAAGGCGCACACGACACCTAATCCCACCTCTGAAGTTTTTAGAAGTCCATGTTTTCTCTGCTCCTAATTTGTATTGTTCCAATGGACTTGAGCTTGAATACTGTTCATTATCGTCGTATTTCATTCAAGGACATGTCAGAAAGACAAATGGTGAGAATCAGTGATTAACCATTTTTGCCCTCCCCAAAAATGCAAATAAAAAATTAAACAAAACAAAATATCTCTTCAGCTTTGCCCCCCCCCCTCCCCCACTGCAGTCATGACTGATTGCTAGAATTAAAGTTATCCAATGTGCATACCAACTTGTGTAACGATATATTGCAATAAAACATTTTTTAAAAGAATAAGTAGTTAATAAAATCTTCTGCACTTAATATGCCTCCGTAATCGGATGATATAGTTTTTAGTATGTCCCTCTGTCTTTATGTCGGTTTGTCTGTTTGTCCGCAAAAGTTTTAACCTTAGCCATAACTTAAGAACGGTTATTGCTAGGGCTTTCACATTTCCCATGTTATATTTGTGACAAACCTTTCTTTGGGTACCGAAATGTTTTACCCCTTGCCTTGACCTTGTAGTTTGATCTAATTTTGAAAAAGTTTCAGCTTGGCCATGACTTCTGAATGGTTGGTGCTCGGGCTTTCATATTTCACATGTGTATTCCTTGTGACAAGACCTTTTCATGAATCCAAAGAATTTATTGAACAGAGTGCACTAAATCTAAAGAAAATCATAGAAGCTTTTTTTTTGCTGTCATGAATTTTATCATTTTTACACTATTTTTAGAAAATAATATAATTTTCTAAAAGAATGACCTCCAAGCTGTCATATTCTTTGTTGACTTTTTAATTGCTACAACACCTGCTTTATTGCAGAGATTTAATGGGTCGACAACAAGGTTCCGTGGTAGATGCTGCAATTGCCACCCTTCTTTGTCAGTGTGTTGAAAACATACATAGTTGTGGTATCGGAGGAGGCCATCTTATGACTGTATACCACAGGTTAGCGATTCAATAACTTGGTTTTTGCTCCTCCTTCCATAGTGCAGTTCATTTATTTCTGGTTTGGTCTTCTCATCTTCCGCCCTATGTATGCATTTTAAAATGTGAATCTTTAAATTAAAATTTATATTCACATTATCCTACAGAATTTTGTTAAGCCAAGCGTTTCTTATGAGCGAAACAAAAACCATTTTGCTTTCTAGATGGTAAAACAGACTTTGCAATGAATCGAGTATTCCTGAATCAGAATTCAGATAAGAATTAATGAGATGAGAAACATCAGAAATTCTTGAATTGTTTTAATTTTATAATTTATACTTTATAATAACTTTTATTAAGGAAAACTAAAACAGCACACACAATAATTGCACGTGAAATGGCACCAGGAGGTTCCTCAGAGGAAATGTTTGTCATGGGAAATAAATCCTCAATCGAAGGTTAGTAAAACTTGGTATAAGGAAACGGTCATAAGGCTTTTTAGTGAATTTGAACTTTTGATTTCTTTCCGAATTTGAGCTATTTCCCGAAAATGGGAATTTCTGGTAATCTTGAATCTTTTTGAATGGTTTCAAAGGTACCTGAACAATCGAACTCAAAAAGTTATGTACAAAGATACTTTGACTTCTAGCAAGGCTTTTAATGCCAGGGTACCACATGGCTCAGTCCTTGGTCCCTTGTTATTTCTAATTTATATTAGTGATGTTTCAGTTAACATGTTATCACTTTGTAGATTATTTGCAGATAACAATTCTGTACGGAGTTCTTTGTCAAATGTTGCTAACATTGAATATTAATCACGATCTAGAAGTTTTAGATGAATGGTCTAAAAAATTTAATCCTTCAAAAACTAAAGCTATACTCTTTACACTTTCTAAAATTATATTTTCAACAATGTCAAATAGAGTGTGTATCCACGCATAAACATCTTGGACTACTTTTTTCCCCTAAGACTTAAGTTGGTCTGAATATATTAATAGCATAGTAAATACTACATATATAAACTTGGTCTTTTGAAAAAACTCAAAATCACTCTTGGACGTAACACACTTTCTAAAATGTACATAGCTTTTGTTAGGTCTCATCTTGAATATGCATCCGTTATCTGGGATGAATGTACACAGTATGATATTGAAAAATTAGAAAAAGTTCAGCTTACTACCGCACGAATCAATACAGGTCTCCTCATTTTTGTTTCTGGTGAATCGCTCTATTCAGAAACGGGATGGGAACCTCTTGTAGAGAGAAGGAAGAAAGCAAAATTAACTACAATGTTTAAAATAAAATAACACTGTCTTTGATTACTTAAAACAGATTTTTCCAAATACTCGAGGGAAAATTTCATCATACAATACTCGTAATACAGAAAACTACACAATTCCGAAATGTAGACTTGAAATCTTTAAAAAAAATCCTTTGTCCCAGACGTAGTTAACAATTGGAATCCTCTGAATCTGGAAGTGAGGGAATTAAAGTCCATCATTCAATTCAAGAAAAGTATTTGTACACCCTCCTGTAAACCACCTTCTTATTTTTCATATGGAAAACGTTTTTGGAATATAATTCACACTAAATTACGACATAATTGTATCCTAAATAGCGACCTATATCGGAGAAATATAATTTCTTTCCCCAAATGTACTCACGGCCAAATTGAAGACATTTATCATTTCTTGTTTCTATGCAAGAAATATGAACGTCCAAGAAATGACTTAATAAACACTATTCTTCAACAAAATATAAAAGACACTCATTTTTTATTATGTGGAAACGAATCTTTGTCTACCGATGCAAATATTCAAATTTTCTGTAGTGTCCAGAAATTTATTCGAGAATCAGATATATTCTAACTTAAAACAGTGTCTTTGATTTCAATATGTATGATATTATGTAGAATGAAAATTTTAAATTTTTTAGCAAACATGAAAGCTTTTTGTTCAATAAACATTGTAATCAGTTTATATGTAATATTAGAGCTCTGGTAGATTACTCAGAGCGTGTGTCTTTATAATTTATAATAAATTACATGTACAACATAAATTGTTGTAAATTATCTCAATTTATTTATTATGACAATCATATTGTATTCATTATTTGTATAACAAGGAGAGGATTTATTAAGTTGAAAGAACATGTATCCAATCTTTTTGAATGCATTATACAATAAAATATGTTCAAATCAAATCCTCAATCGAAGGTTAGTAAAACATGGTATAAGGAAACGGTCATAAAACTTTTTAGAGAATAAAGAGGACATTTGTACTGTTGATTTCTTTCAGAATTTGAGCTATTTCCCGAAAATGGTACAGATGGTTTAAGGGGGGTAATTCTTGAACATTTATTTAATTACGTTTGTCTGCATAATACAAGTCTACATGTATAGTTATATTAAACAAACAAATGACAGATCTTTTTGCCAGGAATAAAATCACCAACTAAAGTTACAATAAAGTATAGCTAAAGATTCATTTATCCCTGTTACTACTTGAAACTGCAAGCTTTAAAGTTAATGTGCACTAAAACACAGAATTTTTAATTTGCTTGGCTCTAGAGTTAATTCATATTCGACTTGCAATTTCTAATGTTATGGCAGTTCTGATTAAACAGATTACTTGGGAAGACAAGTTCTATTGTCTCAGTGATACCACGATGGTAGAAATACAACATTTTGAGAAAAATTATTATCCCTTGAAAACCATTGCTGACCTCGGCTTCGCTTCGGTCAGCAATGATTTTTGCAGGATAGCAATTTCACATGTTACCCTAAAAACATGTAATATTTCCATACTATCAGCAGTGACCCATGATTAGCAGGGATGGCGCTTAAAACACGTAAAAACTAGAAGCGCAGAAATGAATCTGATTTAAGAGGCATGTTTTACACAAAGCTGAAGTGCTATAAATGACCAAGCAGGCCCGTAGAATGCGGAGGGGGGGGGTGTCCGACCCCCCCCCCCCCCACTTTTTTCTGAGTGTAGTAATTTGCTTTAGTAAATTTTTCTTCAGATTCTGGTCAGTTAGGGTTTGTGGATTTTTTTGGGGGTTGCTTGCATTGTCAGGTTTTTTTGATAAGTTGACACCCCCCCCCCCCACACACTTTTGAAACCGTTGCTACGGGCTTGCCAATTCAGATATCTTAACAAAATCAAGTGCTGCAAAAGAAAGACTGCAAAAACATTAAGAAACTACAGCAGTGGAAAGCACAATGGAACGGTAAGAGAGAATAAAAGGGGCTTTCCGGATGCATCATCTGTTGTTTAAAAGAGAGTCAGAACACTGCAAATGCGTTCAATATTTCAGTGATTGTACATTTTGTAGCAAGCTGTGATGTTACTGAGAAAGATTTTGGGGCTTTAGTGAAAAACGTATTGTTATTTAAAAAAGTTAATATAACCAATTCTGGGGGTGGATGTCTTGTGTGGACCACAAGTAAAAGACATTCCATTCTTTTGGAGAAGAAGATATTAACTATTAATTATTACGGAATCAGCCTACCAGAGAATAAGCAGAAATTCGAAAGTTCATGGGTCTGATAATCTAAAGCAGTACCTGATAAACAACTATTGCAGAGCTTTTTAAGCAATAACATATAACCAAGAAAATTGTACTTTTAGATGAATTGCCCAATAAGAAAATACATTCCAAGAGTTAAAGATTATAGATCTTAAGGCTTTAGGATTTTCCAATGGTAGAGACGTTAATCCTGTTAGATAGATAGGAGTGCTGATACAGGAAACCAAGGGAGAAAATTGTGTTTTGTTTTACGTAAGATGGAGGCTACCTGAAACTAAACGTCAGTATTTTGATACAGAAACACAAGTGCTCAGGGAAATATCTTGGCTTGTGAGAGAATGAACATGATTTTAACTGGTGTTGCCATGAATTGTTAATTGACTACAGTAAGTTCAGAAAACAACAAAAGCTATGACGCACAGATGGAATGTGAACATACAACCCTGCAGATTTAAAATTGTCCATAATCCAGGTGAAAATAACACTGTCGATGTGTTCAACATTGAAGATCTAAATGAATAGAGTACCTGTGTAGACTATATTCGCTTCTTAGCGATAAATATAACAGTTTGATAAGTACCACAATGAAAATTAAGCTAGAGTCTGTCGAGTATGAAGGAACTATTGATTGCAAAATACTTGTTGAAATCAATTAAGCCAGTAACAAAGAAGTAGGTGTTCTTTGCAATTTGAGGGTGACATTTTATCTTACATCAAAACTATGCACCACGGTGCTATGGCTTTTGAAAAGATTAAGAAAAAAGTTTAAAGACCAGCATTTAATATTGAAAGTAAAAAAGACATTTTTTCGAATCATGTCATCCATGACAGATTGTTTGTTCCAGAAATACATATCCCTTTTTAAATTGAACTGAGGCCAAAAGAAAGAAAAAACAAAGAGAAGCTGTTTTCCCTAATGTCATTGTGACATCAAAAGAAAGTACTCAGTTCATCTAATAAAAACAGATAAAAATAAATTGCATAATAATTAAATGCAAGGTCATCGCAACTGATCGGACAGTCATACATTGTACCTTAAATTTCCTTTCAAATTCTTAAAACATGGTTTTTTCAAGGAGCATGCTTTTGCTTGTTTCTTATGTTCATATGTCTTTCAATTTTTTTTTTATTGAACTTAGGAGGGTTAGCAATTGGAATACCAGGTAACATTAAAGGTTTTTACGAAGTGTGGAAAATTGGTGGAAAACTACCCTGGAGGGACCTCTTTCAGCCCGCCATCAAAAAGCTTCGTGAGGGATGGTCTGTTAATTCCCTCTTAGCGAGAGCCATCCATAAACTGACAGAATCAGACATTCTTTTAAAACAGAAAAATTTGAGGTAACTTTAAGTTAATGACTGTGCACAACCATACTACATAAGGAGTTTTCCTCGCACCTAGAGTACATGGACTGTTAAACTTACTTAATGCACATATTGAAAGATGTTTTTTTTTTTTTTTTTTTTTTTTTTTTTTTGAAAGGTAATAGTACGCTTCTTAATTGGATTCTGGACATCTCTTATATTAGAGCATTCGGTCAATCTATTTCATTATGCATATATAATTGCCCTTTTAATTGTATTTACGTCGGAAAAAGCAAGCAATTTTTCTTATTTCTATGTATATTTCTATGTATGTATTCTATGTATGTATATTTTTATGTATATAACGTTAAGAATCCGATTTTTTTGTACTTTCTTGCACAACACGAATTCTAAAATTGAGGCATATTTTAATAAATCATGCTCTACTTCACACTTGAAAATTTCGATATCTAAAGATAGTTTTGTCATATATATACAAAGCATTACAAAGACATGTAATCAATGTGCAACATATTTCATTGAAGATGGTAAGAGTCTAATGAACAACAATTGATAAGCGATGTTACATGGAAACCTCTAGATATGTTTGCTGTACTGTATGACGTACCTTCTCTTTTTTGTGTGTTAGACTAATGGTTACAAATCCTGAAACTAATGAAGTATATACAGAAGGCGAGATAATCAAAATACCAGGACTGGCCAAAACATTTGAAGCTATTGCCAATGACCCACACACCATGTACAATGGTTCCATGGCTAAAGATATTGTTGCTGATATTCGTGAAGCTGGTTAGTATTCAGTCCAAGCAAAACATTTCAACAATAAAATGCTTTCTTTGATTGTTAGTATGGGAATTGATGTTGCAGCTGTTGCAGAAAAAATACATACTAGTAACCCGCGTAAGCGGGTCATATTTTTTTTCTGCAACATCTTCAACGTTTATTCCATATTAACAAAGAAGAAAGATATTTTAATGTTCATATTTATATCTATAAATAATTAATATTAAATATTAAATGCATTAAATATTGTATTTTTGATACATGTGTATTTATGTCCTTGTATGTTTCATTGATGGAACAGCCGCTGCTTTAGAAATCTATACAATTTGCTTGCTCAGTGGTGTATACTGATTGATAAACGACCGTGGTTTTTATAAGAAATAGAGGAGATAATATTGAGTGGATGTAAATATTTTGTATTTAAGACAAGGTGAAGGAATAAATCTGCAGCCCTTGATTTTTACAGTATAAACAGTTACTATACAGAGAGACTGAAAAATCTATAATAGAGATTTTAAACATGTGTATAGCTGTATTACCCTTTCTAAATAAACAACCAGACTCCATTTTTGCAGGAGGAATTATAACAGAAGAAGACTTACAAAACTACGTAGCAGTTGTAAAGGAACCATTAGTTGTAAAACTGACGGACAATTCAACCATATTCACACCGCCGCCACCATCTAGTGGTGCAGTGTACGCCATGATTTTCAATATCGCTGATAGTAAGCCAAAATCGAATACTAGAGTTAAATTTTGAAGAAAACATTTTACATTTTCTTGTTTTCCTACTTTTCACTAGCTCTCAAATGCATTTAAAACAAACATGATAATTTATTTACATAGAGTATGGATTTACACCTGACAGTGTCTCCACCCCAGAAAAATCTATTCTGACATGGCACCGAATCGTTGAAGCCATGAAGTTTGCTTATGCAAAAAGGAGTAATCTTGGAGACCCAGACAAAGAGAGTCAGAGTTTTAAAGAAAACATCAATTCGGTGAGATTCAATTCATTTCTATTGCATAAAATAAGCAATGTACATGGTATGATATTTCAAATAGAGTGATGATGATTTGTTTCAGATATCAGAATGTGTAATGTAATCATTATTAAGTTGTAGTGTTAAAATTTTTTTTGTCATAATTGTTTTGGATAATCACATTTGTGTAAACGATGTTATTATCAAGAATCCATATCGTGCACATCACATAAATTTTATTAATCAATTCTTTCAGTTGATATATAATATGACATCATCATCCTATGCTGAGTATGTTAGATCGAAAATATCGGATAGTACTACACAGGATACGATCTTCTATGGTCCAACATACCACGACTCCTCAAACACTGGAACATCCCAATTATCCGTCCTAGCGCCAAATGGTGACGCAGTCTCTGTCACAAGTACAATCAATTTATTGTAAGTTCTTTTTAATCAATTTCAGGGTTGTCCCTAAGACCCAGTGACCGGGGAATTTCCCTGCCTATAAGGACGTAATTCCCCGCTTACTCTGTAATCCCGTCTTAACCCCCTGTTAGGAGAGGAACCCCAAACCCCCTTCTATTATTTTTAATGTCCCCTGCTATTTCAATTTTTAAGGACAACTCTGAATTTGAAATCATTATATATTTGGAATATTGGCTTTCATCTTTCCCATTTTTGAGTCCCCTTAGTTCTTTTCAGTTTTGGATCAAAAGTTGTCGGAAGTAGAACAGGCATTATTTTTAACAATAACATGGACGATTTCTCCACGCCAAACACAGTCAGCTATTTTGGATATCCAGCATCTCCAGCCAACTTCATTAAGCCCGGTAAAAGACCGTTATCTTCGATGTGCCCAAGCATAGTAGTGGATGCAAGGGGGCACGTTAAACTGGTGCTGGGAGCTTCAGGGGGGCCAAGAATTATATCGGCTACAGCGCTAGTGAGTGTACTCTTTTCATTAAAGCCCTATGGAAATCCACTGAGATACCCCAACTCACGGTCTTTAAAAATCATTGAGTAAAACCAACCTTAAATGCAATCTTTAATGGGTCTTGCTACTTGTAATTGACCATCAGATAAGCAATATGCTGGAATAATGGATGCCCATATTTATACAAGTCTTACATGGCTCAATCAAGAATATGTATGGCATCATTTCGACATGACGTCAATTCGAGATGTCGGATTTATAACTGATAGCTTAAATTGTAACTTTGAAGATTCAAAATTATTACTTGATCAAAACTACACTTTGTGTTTATTTTAAGGATGTTGGATCCTGTAATCAAAAGTATTGAGAATTTTTTATAAAGTATAGAATCTACACGCATAGCTTAATTAAAAATCAAAACAAGAAATGGGGTTCAATGCGCTTCTTTTTGGCGCTATGGAACATTTAATATGACCATTTTGCACTGTAATTACGTCTTACACATAAATAATTTTTTTAAAGTTTTACCTCTAATATTTTTTATCCAAATAAATAATGGGAACAAACACAGCCTTTTTTCATCCTGAATAGTCATATTAAAGTTTGTAACAACAAAAAAGTTTCAAAGCATTGTCAATTATTTGACCTTTCTGCACTCGAAAATATGTCATTTTTTCTGGCATGAAAAATTTAACAAGCAATAAAATCATTTTAAAGGAATGACATTTTTTTTTAATTTAAGCGGAATGATTAAAATTATCTTATACTTAAATTGGGCTATTATTTTTCCAGGACTTTCACAATGTATTGGCTATATTTGTCAATTATGATGATAGAATTCATGACAGTTAATTTAATATATAATTTAGGACCAACATAAAACATTTCACTCACAAAATAACTCTGTCTGATGACAGCATGTAAAAATAGGAATCCAAACTTAACAATACTGTAAATACTTTGAGAAAGAAAAATTAATCATTTTCTTCTAAAAAAAAAATTTTCCGCCACAAAATTTAGTTCCTCATTTAATGCTCTCAGTACGGGATATAATCATGGGGTTTTAATTGAATATTGTTTAATAAGCATTGTAGAATCCAAATTTATTGTAAGAACTAAAACATTATGCAGAACTTTTTAAATAGAAGTCAAGACAAAAATCTGCTCAAAATCTCAGGAACAAACCTCTTTAATTGAAAACACTGTCTAAATACGTAGGTAGAACATGATGAGGTCTCTAGTTTGGGTTTTCGTATAATCATCTGATTCAGAAAGGCATAGTTTTCTCCACTTTACATAAATTTCAAGATTCTACGAGGTAACAAATGATTAAAAGTCAGTTAATTTTAGCCTAAATAAAATGAATATTAATAAGTTAAGCTTTTACTTGCTGTTAATTTGTCTACCCATCCTGTCCCCATTGTTCATTTTGTATCAATAATGTACTCACTGTTAATCTTTGTACGGAAATCTCACCGAGGTTCGTCGAGACTAAAAATTTTGACGTTCCTACAAATCTCCTTTTATGCTTATCAGTTTTATATTAAATATATATATATATATATATATATATATATATATATATATATATATATATATATATATATATATATATATATATATATATATATATATATATATATATATATAATTATTACTTGAATGTTTATATGTAATTTGCACTTTCATGCGTATCGAATAAATCGAGAGATATAAATCCCGTATGCAGGTGATAAAGGTATATTGCTGCATAAGTAAGGGAAGTTGACGATTGAAAAGTTAAAGTCATCACGTTTATCATAAAGTTTTGTTGTTAAATAACCATTAATGTCTTTTTCTAGTAAAATATCCCAATATGGAACAGATGGTCAGACTCTGTGGTATCTTTTATTTCAAGCTCACCGGGATATATCGTATCGACATAAGAATGGAAATAACCATTGTTAATTGACAATTCGTCGTCGATATATCTAAATGTCGAGTAAAAGACCACAGCAAGTGTTTTCTTCTTTTCACGTTTAAGATTTTGAAGAAATTCTGCTTGATATGAATACAATATATGTTTACGTAACACGATACACGTTGCTGTTACACGTAAAACATTCGATATTCAAGTAAATAGTTTTAACACTGTACCTTTCAAGAAATATTAAGGTTTAGCCCTGTTTTTTGAAAATTTTCTTCTTCAAATTCACTAGAATTAAAAAGTAATATGATCTACATCAATTATTAGGTCAGCATTGAAACACTTTGGTTTAAATATGGTATAAAGAAATCAATAGACCACAAACGTCTCCATCATCAACTGTTTCCACCCCATATAATGGTGGAGGATGGATTTGATCAGGTATGTTCCTTCATAAATGATATTTCAGGTTAAAAAAGATAATAGATGTATGTATAGTTATCTGTTTAAAGCATTTCCCGGAATTATATTGCAGTACCAAGTATTTCAACTAGAACTTTGGTTGAAGATGAGTAAACTTTTTCATAAATACGCTTCTATAACGTTAACAAATACAGTAAATGTATCTTATTTGGCGTGTACGATATTTGGCGGAAACTGATTTTGCAACAAGTTAGCGTAGATTTCATTTAGCGCCTTCTGAAAGTAACTTAAATAAATTTGCATACACAAGACTTTAAGCGATGTACTTGATTTAGTGGACGATGCTTTCCGCGAAAGGCGCTAAATAGTATACACAGTCAAATGTAATACGTTTACTACGGAAGCGTATTAGTGCCATTTTGACACTTTTTATTTTTTAATTTCTACACTTTAATCTGTAAAATTTACACTTTAATCTGTAAAATTTACACTTTAATCTGTAAATTTTACACTTTAATCTGTAAAATTTACACTTTAATCTGTAAAATTTACACTTTAATTTGAAAAAAAAAAACAACTTATACTGTAATCTGTTATAATCGAACGGTCGTTTCAAGGTGTTATACCTATGACATTTGAAAAATAGTATAAATCTGAGATGTTCACAAGTGTTTGCATAAAAGTTTATACACGTATATATGATAAGTAAGGATGGGCGATTTGCGCATTGGCCTCGTAATTTTCCCCAGCAAAATATCGGGAATCTGCTTTCAATCCAGTATATTTCTTTAGTACTATAGTAAAGAGCGACGAACAGTAAAAGATATATATCTCAAATATTTTTGTCTTCTTGTTTGCAGTTCAGATTGCTATTGCAAGTTAATGGGTCTATGATCATGATGTTAAATATACATGTAACAGTTAAAATCACGGTGATTTTAGAACTTAACAATATAGAAACGTCATTGTGTCAAAAGATATTAATTTCTATGCTTTTATAATTAATATAAAATCATATACTTTAATTATTTACAGGTATATACTTTAATAATTAATATATTAATTGGTTATTTAAAAAATTTTCAATTCAGTAATTCAATTGGTGCCCGTAATAAATGTTGAATGTAATTCAATTAATGCTATCAACAATTGAACTGTCGAGTACATCAAATGAATTTGTGTATATTGATGTCAGTATCATATTCATTGAGATATGTATGTTTGCTTTGTTCTTCACTTCCACTGAGTTCTAAATTCTTTCAAATATTCTCTGAAAGTCTCATTTATATCAGTGATACTAGATTGGTTAATATTATTTGTATTATATCAATACATATAATATCAGATAAGTAATTATTTTCCAGGTTTATCGTTAAATAAGAAATCAAAATTAAATTTTATCATGCAGGATTCATGGTCTGTTGGCTTTACGGCCTGTTACTTTAAAAGATGTAGGAAGTTGCCAAATTGATTATGTGAATTAAACAGATAAAAGTGTAAATTATACAGATTAAAGTGTAAATTTTACAGATTAATGTGTAAAAATTTATAGATTAAAGTGTAAAATTTACACTTTAATGTGTAAAATTTACGGATTAAAGTGTAAATTTTACAGATAAAAGTGTAAAATTTACAGTTTAAAGTGTAAATTTTACAGATTTAAGTGCGGAAAATGAAAAATAAAAAAGTGTCCAAATGGCACTAATACGCTTCCGTAGTTTACAGTAAACAAATTGTTTTCTATTCTAGCAAATCGTCAACGGCTTAGAAAAACTTGGTCACAATATATCTATCTCACCAACTTCTGGTTCGAAAGTCCAGGGCATACTGCAGTTAGAAGAAGGAAACATTACAGCCAATGCTGACTACCGGAAACGCGGAGCCCCAGATGGCTACTAAAGACCAGGAACGTCACTAAGTCCAAATAGTTTCTCAAATGACTTAATCCATTCATATTTCATTCATTTTTCGATATGAGTTTGAAAGTTGATTAACGATGCACAAGATTTAAAAATATCACCAAAAATATGTAGACATAATTGCATAATTTTGTCCAAATATTAGAACCTCTCTTGTTCAGTTTGGCATCAATGCCAACTCCTTTATCGGACATGAGGACATTGTCGCCCAGTTATACATTCAAGTATGCTGGAGTTTTGAGCTATGAATTTATCAGATACATCTCCTCCATACAAAGTTGACACATACACAGACATAGTTTTATCAGGTGTAATCCTAACCAGTGCCTTGTAAGTGTTTCGATGTTAGTATATGAAGTCCATGTTTCTCGCTGAGCTTTTAGAGATGAATGTTTTTAATAGGCTTTCCGAACAGTCTAGTATTAATCAGATGTTTGAAAATTTGCTAAAGGGATCTGGTCTTAAACTCTTTACCTTTTCCCTACATGGAAAGGGGAAAAAAGCACTTCTCATTCTAGAGGAGAGAGAAGAGCAAACTCGGACCTCTGAAAACATCAAAGGTAGGATCAGGTGTCATAGAGTAGTAAATCACATCTTGCCATGACCAGGCATACGAAAAAATCCGTAGTCAATTAATTGTGTCTATTGGTAAGAAAAACGTCAGTCAGTATTTTACTTAATGAAAGATTGTATTCGCTGACAAGTACACTAGCTGTATTGACCATAAAACGTGAGAAATGTGGACTTAAAATGAGGCTGTTGATATCAATTTGTTTGTCAGTAGCTTACCTCGTTTTAGAATATTTTACGTAGAGCATACTCTTGCGTATCGAATCAAATGAGAGATATCAACACCATATGTAGGTGATATTGGTATATTGCTATATAAATAAGGAAAGTTGACGATAAAAAAAAGTTTAAGTCACCAAGTCTATCGTAAAGATTTGTTGTTAGGTTAGATTTTTAGTTTTTCCTCTAGTTCGAAAATAAGCTTTGATGAATAATTGTAAGAATTGTTGTATGCTCTTCAAAAGTGTCCACTTGAACACCTATAAAATATGAGGTAGAGCTAGTTACTTTAGTGGAATCTGTCTGTCCTGAGGAATTTTCAGTATCACTCACTGTCTGCGAGGAAGTGCCTGTACATGAGTTTGTATTGTCAAAATTAAACTTATTTGGTGTCATACAGAATTTATAGTAGATATAAGGTGTAGTGCTGGGAGATATAGGGAGGTCTACTCAGAAATCGCTTGTATTTTTAAAACCACGATCTTCAGATATTTCAATTTTATTCTGCACATGTTTAAAATCGAGTGGAAATGAAAATTTTCCTGATTTTGTAGAATTTCCTTTTGATAAAAATCGCTTTTACCGCTGCTGTGGAATAATTCTGAGCTCCTTTGCTATTGATCATTTGTCTTTTTGGAAGTACTTAACTGAGATAACTTAAATTTTGACTTGGAATGTAATCAACATTTGTGGGATCGTTGCTTTTTCTACCCGACACAAAATGCAAACCACATACATGTACCTTTGAATCGACTATCGTCGTTTCTTACCAAGTTTTCTCCTGTTGCTCTAATCCAGGCATTACGACCTAAAATTTGGTGTTGCCATTTTCTGCTACAGAGCGTATCCTTTGGGCAAACTCGACCTCCTGTTAAAAGTTAATCACAACAGTGGTCATTGGTACCTATACTGATAGCTGCTGTTACTATAAAGTAGAGTTTTAATGGGAAAAAAAATTCTAAAATGATTTCGAAAGCACAACATGTATTTACTGTCTTACAAAAGAATTTACGACTAAGACCAAAATTTAGTTCGGCTTATAATTTAATTGAAAATGGTTTTAATGTTTTTAAAAGGCATGTAGATATTTTTACGCTAGCAATTTTAATCAGAATCATTAAATTTCCAAAGTTTCACAGTAAACTGCAGTTTTTGGTCTTTCTCGTAAGTTCTGTTGCAAAAACAGTGGGGTTCTAGAATAATCCTTCTAAAATAGCCAATTTGAATTCAAATGCCACGTGAATTTGAGAAATTTTTTGGCATAAGACTGTTTTTTGGAAATATTTATCCGGCTTGTAATAAAATTAAAATACTTCTTTTGACTGACATCTATGAGATAGTATCTATTATTCCATTTGGATTAAACTGGTTTGGACTGGTTGCATACAATAACGACCTAAATATATGTTGCTTCTTCATCATTAACATCCAACTGGGTTTAAAAGGAAACAAACTTAGGTCACTTAGGTACTATAAAACGAATCCTGCATGTTGTATTTTGTACGTTACTTAGAGATTAAACAGCTTGACAATTTGCAATCAATTGCAGCATCTTTTCAGGAATAAAAGAAAACATCCATAAATGCGCCATATGTGACACGCTAGAAACAGATTGAAGTATTGCACAAAATCATGCATTCAAGCAAATTAAATATGAAATTGTAGCTGTATACACTCAAGTTGAACACGTACGAGGATTGACGTTTTAATTGCCACGGTTTTAGCTCACCTGAGCCGAAGGTTCATGTGAGCTTTTCTGATCAAAGAGTGTCCGGCGCCCGTCTGTCGTCCGTCGTCTGTAAACTTTTCAAATTTTCGACTTCTCAAGAACCGCTAGGCAAATTTCAACCAAACATGATACAAAGCATCCTTGGGTGGTGGGATTTAAGTTTGTTCACAGGAGGTACAATGTACCATGCCCTCTTTCAAGAGGAGATAAAGAAATTAAGAATTCGTGAAAATTTGGTGGAATCTTTTAAAAAAATCTTCTCAAGAACCAATGGGTAAGAAAAGATGAAACTTATGTGAAAGCTTCATAACGTATATACTAGAAATTCAAATTTGTTCATATCAAAACCCCCAGAGGTAGGGCGGGGGCACAAAGGGAGGTTGAAGTTTTACATTTTAATATAAAGGAAATATCTTCAAAATTTTCTTCTCGAGAACAGCAAAGCCATAATTAGTCATATTATCAAAGAAGTATCCTCAGGTAGTGTTGTTTTAAGTTTGTTCCAATCATGACCCCTGGGTGTAGAACAGGGCCACAGGAGGGGTCAAAGTTTACCATAGGAATATATAAGAAATATCTTTCAAAATCTTCTCAAGAACAGCTGAGGCATTATTGGTCATATTAATATAGAAGTATCCTCGGGTAGTGTAGATTCAAGTTTGTTCAAATCAGGACCCCTTGGGATTGTGCGCAGACAATAGGGGGTCCAAGTTTTACATAGGAATACATGTATATAGGCAATGTTTTTAAAAATATTCTTCTCAAGAACAGCTAATCCATTATTAGACATTAAAAAAGGATTCTAAAGTAGTATAAATTCAGGTTTGGTCAAATCATGACCCCCGGGGGTAGGGCGGAGCCACAACTGTGGGTCAAAGTTTTACATAGGAATATATTGGTGTATGTTTAAGGGGCATTTCCGTAAAACGCATCAAAGACTTCAAATAGTGGAATGACCTGACAAACCTTGGAATGGACTAGCCAAAGGGTATATAAGGCAAAGCTTTGGGAATGTCAGGAATTCAGAAGCTAGCTGAAGACGTTGAACCAGCAATACAGATGTTAGGGGTGAGAGCAAAATAAAAGTAAGCTATAAAAACCAGTGGCAAGTATCCTAGGGACTTGATGTTAAGTTCTGGTTGTAGTAAATCTGAAGAAGATTTAGACACCCGGTTCTTATCTATCAATAGAAACCTAGGGGAGAAACACGGTGCAAATAGTACCTTACTCAATCCCCGTCTCTAGATAAGAGAAAAATTTTAGTGATATACCCTAAGACAAAGCGATCTAAATATTCATTCCAATCATTACCTCAGGCTGAGTAAAACGAAATCTATATACCCCTTGTAAGAACCTGATCATACACATGTACATGTTACATAATAAATATGTTTAAAAATCTTCTTCTTAGGCACAATTCAACTATTATTAGTCAACTTATACAGAAGCAACTTCAGCTATTTGTAAAATCAAGTTTGTTCAAATTATATTATGACCCCCAGGGGTTGGAGGGGGGGGGGGCACATCAGGGAGTCAAAATTTTACAAAAGAATATAGAGGAATCATCTTGAAGAAAAAGATCTGCTCAAAAATAGCAAGGCCAAGATTAATCATATTTTTTATAGAAACATGCTCAGTTTAGTAGATTTACATTTTACAAAATAAGGGTATGTAGGTAGGGACCACAATGAGCGATCAGAGTTTTACATAGGAATACATGGGGGGAAATATTTAAAATTCTTCTGCTTACGAACAGTAAAGCCATGATTAGTAATATTGATATGGAAGCGTCTCCTGGGATAGTGTAAATTTAATTTTGCCCCCCCCCCCCCCCGTAAACTGTTCAATACTGAACTGATTTCTGCTTTTTCCAAGCCAATGTGCTCAGGTGAGCAATGTGGCCAATTGGCCTCTTCTTTATTTCTTCATGTCATACAACACATAAGAATACACATTAAATTACCACATGCATACAATATAACAGAATATAGCAATATGAGATTGTGCATAGTTAATTAATAAAGTGTAGCAATTAAGTAAAATTTCATTCGTATTGTATTTTTTTTTAAATTTGTATTCTATATTTTTCTGTTTGTATTGTATAATATTCATTTTGTATTGTTAAACTTTCTATTTGTTTTGAATATTTTTTCATTTGCATTGTATAAATTTTTCGCCTATTTTTTCCATTTGCATTGTATAATTTTTCCATATGTGTTGTATAATATTTTATTTGTATGTACGCGTACGTATAAAAATATTAGACATCGAACAATATCAATAAGGTGTTGGTATAACAGATATCGAGTATTGATATCGAAAATAGAAAACATTATATGGTAATAGAACTCAAGAAATCTTTGTTTTACTGTCATTTACAATCAAATGTGTCGCCCGCGTGGTGCAGTGGTTAGAGCGTTTGCTCTAGAGGCGCGGAGTAAAGAGCTGATCCTTACGTCGCG